CCCCCCCCGGCAGACAAAAAAAACACAAAAAAAACAACAACAACCTAACAACAACTGAATTAAAGACAACCTCGCCTACTGCCTCCTGACTGATGCACTCAATAAGCGGGTTATTATCATGATTATCCGGCCCCGGGGCTAGGGCTGAGTCAACAAGACAACAAGTTACCTGTTGCTGTTGGGGGAGAACGCCGGTGCAAATCTTTCCCCAGGATGGCGTTCATTCCGAATTTGAGAAACGGTTGCTGGGATCCCCCGCAGGGCCCCTGTGGGCCGCCGAGAGGGCTGGAAAGTCCGCTACTGGGAGCCACTGATAACCCCGGATTGGTCGGTGTTCCGTTGAGGGGGGCAGAGGAGGAGGAGGAGGAGGAGCAGGAGGAGGAGGAGACGACTCGGATAGCTGCAGGGGGAGGAGGGGAGCCTGATGGAACAGCCTGCGTTGTCACCATGCCAACCATCGACGCTTTGGCGTTTTCGTGAATTCTGTCCAGGTTTATGGGCGGGGACGGGTGGTCGGATTCGTGTGGTGAGATGTGTCCAGGTTGACCGCCGCCGCCCCCAGCAGCGGTGTTGTTGTGTCCACAGCTTGTGGGAACCGCCCCAAAAGCGCTGAGACCGAGTCCGACCCCGACCCCGACGCCGAGTCCGAGTCCGGGTATTGAGGTCATGCCCGGGTGGTGCTGTGGCCTCGCCATCATGCCAGCGGCTCGCTCACGGAGCAGGTTCTCCACGAGGAAGGAGGCTGAACTCGAGCTGAGGGCGCCACCTGGGTGTGTGGTGGGTAGGCCGAGCGGCGAGCGGAGCATGCTCTGGTAGATGGAGGAAGGGGTTAGCACGTTGGGGAACATGGCGCTCACATGCATCAATAGCGGCCTCTGGTACTGGTTGTTGTCTGGCCTGAAGATCTCGCTACAGCGGCTGTTGCTGTTGTTGGTGCTGTTGCTGCTGTTGCTGCTGTTGCTGCTGTTGCTGCTGTTGCTGTTGTTGCTGCTGTTGCTGCTGTTGCTGCTATTACTGCTGCTGCTTTTATTGTTGTAAACGCTTTCCCTACCGATGCTGTTGTGGCTGATGCTGCTGTTGTGAAGATGCGACTGTACGTGATATAGTTGCTGTGTTCTTGTGCAGGTTGGGGGCGGGAGTGCCACAATCATACGGTGGGCCGATTAGGAGTCAGGCTTCACCTTTATGGTGATGACGTCAGCGACAACGGACAAGACTTCAGTCTGTCTGTGTGGGAGGAACTTGAGTCTGAAATAGGAATCAAGAAAAATAAATGGTAATGATTTGTGTACATAATATTTCTTTTTCAATTTTTTAAAATAAGCTTGTATCATTCCAAACACACAATTTATATTAGTGATGATGATACTCTTATTTAAATAGATACGAGTATGTTTCGTCCATCTGTCTTTTAGTTTTCTATCTATCTATCTATCTATCTATCTATCTATCTATCCATCTATCTATCTATCTATCTATCTATCTATCTATCTATCTATCTATCTATCTATCTACCCATAAGAGTGCGTGTGTGTGTGTGTACAAAATATGTGTCCGTGAGTGCGTGTAGATGGTATGTATGTCATTGCAAATAGAACATTCTCAGAGGTAAGAAAGGAGCGGCTAAGACGGTGTAGACCTCATTAGGTGTATGATTGCACACGACGACACGGCAGCCCACCCGTGCTCTGTTTCCTTTTATTGTACGGCTCTCAACAAAAAAAACCCGCGACACTTGACACCGATCTCATTATCCGGTATTAAACGTTAATTATTATTTAGATATAATTGTTACCCAAGCGGGCTTAGTTAATTAAGAGACGAAGAATGCCATGAGCCAAATTGCCTAAAGCTATGTCAGTTAATTTCTTCTGGGAAGCCATTAGTTTAGGTGCCAATGTGCCAACGAAAAAACAGCTGACAAAGTTGCGAAAGAGACAATGTACGAAGAGAGCGGGCTCGTAGCATAACTTTACACCCGCCAAGTTCTTTCGCCCTCAATTGTGATTTTCGTACTGAGATGAGATCGCAATTTTCTTTCACTGTCAACTGCCAACACACTCTTCGTGTTACAAAAAGGGGGTGTGCAGACGATGCGACTTTGTCAGTCACTGTCGTCGAAACATCCAATCTTCGTGTCGATCTTTTGGCATCAGAACCCACCGATAAGGTTTCATTATACCAAAGATAGTTCATAACAAGATAGTTCACTCTGCCAAAAAAGTGTCAACGGAAGTCCGCGCATTGCTTCAGATGTCGCCGCAGTCTTATTTTTGAAGCTCTCTTTCGTTTCTTCTTCAGAAGAATAGGAACAGCACAGTTTGTTAGTTTTCCTTTCATTGTTTTTCACACAAGTAGGGTAACTCTTTTCGCAAAGTCCGCGCTTTTTTAAAGAGGGCGCCACCGGATTTTGAGGGTACTTTTTTAAATTGGCTCAAAGAGAGGAGTGAACTATCTTGTTATGTACGTCCTTTGATAATACATACATGTATTATCGTTCTACGAGTTTTGAGACAGAACGACTGCAATGCCTCGTTCAGTAGCACAACTTTCGACTTCGACACCCCTACATTGTGTGTATACCCAAACAACGTGATAGAAAACCGAGCTGCAGCAGCAGTAGCAGAAGAAGCAGAAGAAGCAGAAGTCATACGACACCAGTAGCTGACAGCCAAATGCCTGGGGATCGTCTGCTTCTCACAGCGTTTGGCAGACGATCAACAGCGCTTCTGTCGGCCGATATCTTCTTCCAGGTCTGATATATTTTTCTTTGTTCTTGTCGAGCGACGTTCAGTTCATTTTACTTATTTTATGTCCATCTCACCTCCACAGAGAGCCATGAATCACATTAAGACTTCATTAATATTAGGGTTTCGCATGCAGCCAGTGATACGAATGAAACTTGAGAAAACACATTAAGAACCCATAAAAGTTTCCAGTGGACCTGCAGACTTCATGAAGCGACAAAAATATCATAGATAAAAAGCGTGTCATAGAGGGTAGTAAAAACCAATTCTTTGGGCAATTCTTTGGGGGGTAAAAAAAAAAGCACAACGGCACGAATAGGATAAGTGTACATAAAAGAAAGAAAGAAAGAAAGAAAGAAAGAAAGAAAGAAAGAAAGAAAGAAAGGAAGGAAGAAAGAAAGAAAGAAAGAAGAAAGAAAGAAA